CTCCTTCCCACACCCCCCTCTCCGGGGGCCCCCGCCCCCCCGAAGGAAAACCCCCCGTTCAGGACCCCCCGCGGCCCGTCCCGGGGCCGGGGGGGTGGACAAAACCCCGGGGCGAAAGGGGGGGGGGGGGGGGGGGGGGGGGGGGGGGGCATGCCTTAGTTGTTAGACCATTGTCAAGGGGGAGGAGGGGAGGGGTACTCGATTTCCGCGTGTATTGTGGTGATTTTACCACTGACCGCGGTATCGCCTTTCACGCCAAAGGGCAAACCTCGGGGACGTAAACGTGAGGCGGGTACTTGCGGTTGTTCCGACGAAAAAGAACACACAGTAGCGAGGTAGGCTAGTAAGGTGCGAGAGCGACAAGCCGAACGTACGCCAGCCAACAACGTGCGTGGAGGACGCGCGTCCGGGCATCCCCTGCGCAAAAATGGAAACAACAACAACAACCAACAACGACGACAGCAGTAGCATGGAAGGTCGCGTGTGCCTCACTTCGCCTTGAGCTCCAGGAGGCGGGGCAGCGGGCACAGGTCGCCGTAGTTCCGGTACAGCCCCTCCACCACGATGAACCGCCGCTGGTCGAGCACGTTCCTCTTCACCTTCTTGTCCTCCGCCGCGATCTCCTGCGGAAACCAATAAAAGGCGTGCGTGTACGTGCGTAATGTATCCGTTTTTCCGGCAGAAGCGCCCGCTGTATTTTGATTGGTCCAACTATCAGAGGTCAACATTCGTTCCCCAAAAACACGCACTACCCTTTGTGTGCAATGTTTCTCTCTTTTACATTTGCCCGATCTCCGATGCCTCCAAACCAATAAAAAAGTAACTGACGTTGCAATTTCTTTTACAAGCGATAAGAGAAGGTGTGGAAAACCCAACAAGCAGAGGGAGCATCTAGGCACATGGAACAACGCCTTGTAAAAACTAATATATAGCATCGAATACATCGCCTTCGTATCGTGCAAGAGGCGGGAATAACACACAAGACTAGGCCTTGGCTTAAACGATCTGGGAAGGGATCCCTCACACTTGTGCCCCTGCTGCTGTGTCTCTTCCCACCATACCATGGTGCCACCACCTGCGGTACGGTACAGTACCTTGAGAACCCGTTCCAGATCGTCCATGTCGTTGTGCTTGAACGTCCGGACAGTGCTCCGCGACAGGTTGATGCCCGTCTGCACATTCTCTTCTACCCCCTGTGTCGGAAGAAAAAAATAAAAAGACGCATGGCGTGTATGGGTCGTGTGTGATAAACCCATGTGATCGTGGAAATTTTCTTCCGTGCCCCCTATTCCGCGAAAAAAAAGGTTCCCGGAGAGGGGTGTAGCTGAATCACACGGTATATTGGTGGTTCGCGGTGCGGGGTAACGGTTCGTGGTATCTAGGACGTGGTAAATTGGTACTTCGTGTGCCGCAAGCTACGGCACACGACACGGATACCGTACGCGGGGTGCATGTCCGCGGTCGTTACGTGGAAAGTTCGCTTACGCGGTACACCCGTGCTGCGGTGTTCCGCGGCGGTACAGCAGTAGCACGAACGTCCCATTGTTTTCCGCTTGTGTCGTGGGACGGCGGCCGTTCGGCGGAACAACGAGACGGCACATGCGCCCGGAACGCCGCCGCGGTTACGGGCTTCTTCTTTTTTT